ATGTCAGTCTATGTATAAGACATATTATATACATATCTATGGTATTAAACAAAAAATTGAACTATAATAGGTACCTATAATAAATTTCAAATTAATCATATCACAATGTCCATTAGGTACTTATAACGCGTTATACATCAACAAAAACCGTGATACTATCATAGATATATAATAGTACACTTTAGAAGTTTCAAGTCCCCACGAATAATATTATTCAATCACAACAAAATAACTATAATAGTTATTCTAGGTTTTTTTAATATGTAATTTCGTCCAAATTTGAATTTAAAATGTCTATAAAAAATAACTGTGTTCATATATTTTTTAGATTTTTTGGTTACAGTATGAACTATTTATGAGAACCTTTGTTTAAAATTTGCAATCCTTAGCTATAAAAACTGAACATTTTATAATTTATTAATTACAATGATTGATAATTTTCGAGATTTTGATAAATTTTGTCAAAATTTGGTCTTTAAATGCTTATAAAAAAAAACTGTGCCTATGTATTTTTAATATTTTTCAACTGCTATTGTAACAATATATCAGGAGCCTTGTATTAAAATTTTCCACTTTTTGGCCCAACAGATAAAACTTTATTGATATTTATAGAAAAAAAAACTAAAAAAAATTGAAAGCTGTAAATGTCCATAAACAGCTCAAAAAGAGTCAAAATATTTTCAAAATTGTATGGTGTATAGGAAATGCCAATATAAACATTCAGTGAAATTTTCATGTATCTACAGTTATTTGTTTTTGAATTACAACAAAATAAGGAAATCGCTACATGGGAAATCGAGTGAATATTCAATGTTGTAAAAATTTGAATTTCAAACGGTCATAAAAATTTAATTTGACTTTCTTATAGACATTTTTTTTTTGATAAAGGTAGATAATCTTATAAGGAATCTTGTGTTTAATTTTCAAATCTTAGATTTAAAAAGAAAAATTTTTACGAATTCTTAACTCAAAATAATTTGCTAATTTTCGTGATTTTTCCATATTTTGTCAATTTTTGAACTTTAAATGCTTATAAAAAAAAATTGTGACTAAGGATTTTTAATATTTTTCATCTGCCTTTGAAACAACATATTAGGAGCCTTCTATTAAATTTTCAAGCTTTCGCAACCAACAAATAAAATTTTATTGATATTTTTAGAAAAAAAACTAAAAAAAAATGAAAAATGAAAATGTCCCTAAACAGTTCAAAATAAATCAAAATATTTTGAAAATGTTATCGTGTATAGAAAATGCAAATATAAACAACCAGTGAAAATTTCATGTATCTACGGTCATTTGTTTTAAAGTTACACCAAAAACCAAATTCGATTTTTTGGAAAATTGATTTTGCGTAAAAATTCCCGTTTTTCCTTAATTTTTATGTTGTTTTTCCCGGCGCTTGTGAAAACTACTGGAAAATGTTTACTTTTGACCCCCCAAAGTACCAACTAGATTCACTTTCCTATCAGAAAAGGTACTATTGAAGAAAATCCAAGCACTTTTACTGTCCTAAAACGTGATGACAGACATAAAAATATAAAATATAAAAACACACATCATTGTAAAACCAATACATTCATCGCTCCGCTCAGAATCTAAAAAAACACACATCATTGTAAAATCAATACATTCATCGTTTCACTCAGAATCTAAAACTTAGAAGTTAGAATAACTATTTTAGTTATTTTGATGTGATTGAATAATATTATTCGTGGGTACTTGAAACTTCTAAAGTGTACTATTATATATCTATGATAGTATCACGGTTTTTGTTGATGTATAATGCGTTAAGTACCAAATGGATATTGTGATATGATTAATTTGGAATTTATTATAGGTACCTACCTATTATAGGTCAATTTTTTGTTTAATATCATAGATATGTATATAATATATTAATATGTCTTATTCTTATACCTAGACTCGGGCTAGACTGACATACCATCTCCGCTCAGAATCGTTTTTCTTATACAATGATATTATATCATTGAATTCAAATTTAATTCTATACATTATACAGTTACAGACTTGTAACCTACTGTACGGCAGAGCGACACCCACTTGCCCACCTTTTTTTTTTTATAAATTATTACCTATTATTATTATATTTGTTTTTCATAGACAACAATAATTTTGACAAACAAATTTTTTATTTATTCATTTTTTTTTAAATTATTTAAGATAATGCACAATATTCATCGTTTTTGACAACAATTATACCATAATATTATGATATAATTGATAATTTATTTATTTGCGGCAGACCGCATACTATATTCGTAAATTCACCGGTAAACCGCATACTATATATGCAGCCCTACGGTTGTATTTGATGTTGACAACAGCAGTAAATCGTCCAAATGCACATCAGTCAAACGATTTCTGTATTTTTGTTACAAAGCACAACTGGAGAACTGTACACGAAAAAGATTGTCAGTACGTTTTTCACTATTTTTTTATCCGTATAGGTACTTCTTTTCCGATTACCGTATTATGTTAGGGACTTGTATAGGCAACACATCGTACCGATTCTTATCAATGTCTAGCTAGGTCAATAATAACTGATAAGTTTGTAGTTTTTGGTTTACACCACGGACTAAGATATACATTTCAATATTATTTTGTTTTAATGTTTTGTTGATGTGATAATGTGAAATTGCTTACTTATTTCTTTAGTTATTACTTATTAGTTATTACCGTGGTTACTGGTTATTACTTTAGTAATTTAGACAGAATGTAATTAAAAATATATTTACAAGAATACTTAATAATATGTCTGTGAAGTTAGCTCCCGGACGTTTAGCAGTTATCAATTCTGATAAGGTAGGTAACCGTATTCCTGTATACTATATTGCCTATTCATATCTTACTAGGAGTCTTAACAAAAATATTTATTTTTCAGATATACCTACCTAATTCAAGATGGAAGAATGATAATTATTATAATTATTAAGATTATAATATTATTAAATATTAATAAGTGACATGTCATACTATATTAATGCAATTAATAAAACAAACAAAATTCTGAACTACCTAGTATGAATATAATTCCATAAAAATTGATAGTAATTAAATTTTTTTTTTGCAAATATTGGATTTCATAAACAGCTATTGTTTTTACTATTTTGAGTAAATAAATCTAATTTGAGTAAATATATACTGCAAGTGATATACATCTTATAATGTAAATATAGGCATCAATAGACAAAAATATTGTACCAAAATGAGAATAGAAAACCCTAAACCTACAATTATTACAAAAAGTATTAAGATCTTCTACAGGTGCATTCCAAACAGTCAAATCAAATCAGCTTTAAGGAAAAAATTTATATTATCCGACAATAACCCACCAACGGTCTATAATATTATTCAAAACTAATTTAACATTTGATAAAACTACAGGGTCAACAATGGGGAACGAGCTTAAACATTTAATCATAGAATGAATAACAATTAACTAGATTATATATATTTATGTGTTAAAGACCTCGCATAATGATCTTAAATTAATAATTATCAAACTTTTACAAATAGCTTTTAAAAAATAACATTTAGTATTCTTGGAATAACTTGATAACAAATATTTTTGAATACAATTGTATGTCCCAATACTGCCAGTACACATAAAAAAGGGGATATATAATTAATTGTTCAATACCCTGTTAATGAACATTACAAATAACAATCCTCCTTAGTTATTAAAAGTTAAAACAAATCCAATTTAACACCCCACATAATTTAGTAGACACAATAAGGATGATTCTACTATAAAGAACATTTTGGAGGGACGACTCAGCATGAAAAACAAAATGTATGTACACCGAATTATATTTAATTGAGCAGGCATCAAATAAAAATTCGGAATCTGTAGTTTTTCGAAAGGGCCAAGGTAGACTTAAATTCCAGGATTATAAAACGATATCAACCATACGATTTTTGCGATTTACGTGCCATGCGGCTGCAAAGTTGGTCTAATAGGACGGCTTTTTCAAAACGAACACGGAAACTTATGTTTTCCAGACCATTTTAAGGCGAAAGAGCATTCAGCATAGATTTGAAAATTGTAGTTTTTGGATGGGGCAATCAGGGGACTTAGAAGCGGCCTCTAGAAAAATAAAAGTATATACATATTATACGACTTTCATGACATACAGGCAAAGCTGCCACGGGTATACTTAGAACAGAATTTTCGAAATTACACCCAAAATGCTATTTGTCAAATCATTTTTAATCGAAAGAGCAACCAACGTAGATTCAAAATTTGTATATTTCGAAGGGGGCACTCGGGGGACTTGGGCTCCAGAAAAATAATAAGATTGCAACTATATGATTTTTACGATACTGCCGTATTTCGACTGTGCGTTGTACTTAGAAAAGATTTTTCGAAACGAACACCCGAATTGCGAGTTGTCAAACCATTTTTAATCGAAAGGGCAACCAAGTTGAACCAACGCAGATTCAAAATTTGTATATTTCGAAGGGGGCACTCGGGGGACTTGGGCTCCAGAAAAATAATAAGATTAAAACCATTAGATATTTATGAGTTTAGAGGCGAATTGGCTACGTGGTATACTATTAGAAAAGATTTTTCGAAACGAACACCCAAATTGCGAGTTGTCAAACCATTTTTAAACGAAAGGGCAACCAACGCAGATTCAAAATTTGTATATTTCGAAGGGGGCACTCGGGAGACTTGTTTGTTGTAATTCAAAAACGAATAACTGTAGGTACATGAAAATTTCACTCGCCGGGTACCGATGACCTCCCGGACCTCCTGTGCGGGCCTGACTTCCATCTCCTGCCCGAGCGCGCAGAGGAGAAGTCCAGCCTACTCCACAACGCCGCCGAAGGATTCAGGCTGTTCTGCAAGATGACCGAGGGCATCCTGTCACTGAAAGAAGAGGAAGAACGAGCAAGGCAAGCTCCTGTCCAGGCCGTCTAGAACACCGAGCAGTCCGTTGCCGCCCACCCGATATCTCCGCCCCTTTTGGGCTAGGATGTTCGGGTTTGCGGGTCCACTTCCAGGGCCCCAAAGGCCGGACGGGGGGTTTTGGAGGGGGCACAATTTTCGCTCCCGAAGCCGTCAAATGAAAACCGGCCGAGCTAGAACCGAAAAACCGGTAAAAAAACGCAGTCTCAACAAAGTGTCAATCGAATGTACGAATTGGCAGCCCGGAACGAGAGCACGCGCTCCCAATCTGGCAGCTAGTCATTACCGATGGGAGCAGCAGCATCGGGTTCCAGCCAAGCAGAGCCCGGAAAACTGACACGCAGCCAAGCAGAGGCGAACGTCGCAAGTGGCAACCTAAAACCGCAAGTCGACGGTTTACCGTCTATTTTTCTATTGTATTCCTATGCATACACTGTACGTCCCCCGGGCCTCGCCCACTGGCAGACACATACTTTACCAGCGATCGCTGTGGAAAGTCTGCTAGTTCGAGGGGACAAATTATGTTGTTATTGATGTAAAATAATTAGTTGTTTTGTGTCAATAAACGATGGTGGCCGGAGCCCGGAGGTGAAGTAATGCTAACGCGGTTCCGCCTCCAGTCCTCGATTCAACCGGGAAGAAAAAAAAAAAAAAAAGTACATGAAAATTTCACTGAATGTTCATATTAGCATTTCCTATACACTGTACAATTTTGAAAAAATTTGACTCTTTTTGAGCTGTTTACGGACATTTTCAGTTTTCAATTTTTTTAGTTTTTTTTTTCTATAAATATCAAAAAAGTTTTATCTGTTCGGCCAAAAAGTGAAAAAATGTAATACAAGGCTCCTGATATATTGTTACAATAGCAATCGAAAAATATTAAAAATACAGAGGCACAATTTTTTTTATAAGCATTTAAAGATCGAATTTTGACAAAATGTATCAAAATCTCGAAAATTATCAATCATTGTAATTAATAAATTATAAAATGTTCAGTTTTTTTAGCTAAGGATTTCAAACTTAAAACAAAGGTTCTCATAAATAGTTCATACTGTACACAACAAATCTAAAAAATATATGAACACAGTTATTTTTTACAGACATTTTAAATTCAAATTTGGACGAAATTATACATATTAAAATCAATATTAACGATCTTGGTTTTTTGTTGTAATTTAAAAATATTATTCGGGAATATATGAAACTGAAAAATCAAAATATTATGGCCTATCCATACAATCTACCATAGTATAAGGAGTAGCCAGTAGGAAGTATGCTCAATGATAAGACTGTGCATATTTTAAAGGACAATGAATAATTTATTCATAAATTCCATATAATTTAATATCATAGGTAAGTATAATATAATATGTCTTCTACCTAGACTGACATACCGTCTCCGCTCAGAATCGTTTTTTCTTATACAGTGATATTATATCATTGAATTCAAATTTAATACCATTCATTATACAGTGACCCACTTGTAACCTACAGTACAGCAGAGCGACATCCACTTGCCCACCTTTTTTATGTATTATAATATAATATGTATTTACGTGGGTAAACATGTTTTTAATCGATTTTACAAATTATAGTTACTGCCTTACTGGTTTTTTTAAATTTTAATAATATTACTTTACTGTATGAATATTTTTACTACTAAATTTTTATACCATTATATTATGTCATGTACCTACCTTCATCGTTGTATTTTTACCTAATTAATTGTTTATTTAAAAAAAAGTATAATGTCATGTACATAATTGTAATTTAACTATTGCATTTCTTACTAATTACATGTCTGTATATAAAAAAATATATTATAATGTGTATTATTGTGATTTAACTAGTCAATTGTTTATATAGAACAAATATAATGTTATGTACGTTCATCATTGTAACTTATTACTTAACTATTTCATTTTTAACTAATTATTCTAAACACGGTTTTATGTATTCATTACGGTTTTACAATCACTGTCAATTTATTTGTTTGTTTGTACAAAATATATCTTATCTTTGTAGGTACTACTATTTCAACTATGTAACCAGGGCCGGATGTAGGGGGGGGGAGTCGGGGATTTATCCCCGGGCGTATAATTTTCGTGGCTTATTTTTAAGGTTTTAAATATTTTGTAAATTGAAAATTGAAAATGGACTTTAAAGCAAAAGTCAAAATTAAGTACAAAATAATATTTCACAGGAAATGTGTAATATTGGGTATGGGAATAAAATAAAATAATTTTATTTTTAATCGAGATTAGTAATAACTAATAACATTGACTTAAATATTAAAAAGGACAAATATGAAAAAGGTAAAAAATAGATAAAAATATAAAATAAATAAAACCCGTCCGCAATTTACTGTCAGCGGGAGTGTACATGCCTTAGTCTATCATAAATAGATTAATGTACTCTCCGATTAATGACATAATAATGTATGGTAAATTACATCATTTTCTTGCATATATGTAGTATAATATTATGTAGATAGTTGTATAAAACCTTAATCTTAAAAATCGCACTATTAATTGTAATTCATTGTTATGTGATTTTAAATTAACAACTAGGTATATATTTTTCCAAATAGGTAGGTACTGCATAAAATTATGTACTACATAAAATGTTACTTAGGTACTAATGATTTAATTGTTTTCAGATTATTTATTAAATTACATGTTCGTACCTAGGCTTATAAAAGTCTTTGTATTTAACAATTAATGCCTTTTTATAAACTGAACTTTTTTATAAATATCACCATGGCCACTAAATAAATGAAACAGAACACAAAAGGAATATAATTTGTAATTTGTGTTTGCTTTTTAAATGGGTACAAGTATACAACTATTAATTTACTTGATAAACTTGATACTACAAAAGTACAACATAATTAAATAATTAAAACAAAAATACTATCCTATTGATTGTAGCCCAAGACAGATTGAATATTATGTTGTACATATTATATTAAAATAATTTAAAAGGAAATTTATATTCTATTTGGTTCGTTTTTTTTTATTATAAACTGTGTTTTTAGTCTAAATTATTTTTATAGTTCAAGATGTCAAACAGACGACCAGGTCCTTATTATTCTGGAAATTTTTAAAATGTAGAATGTAGTTATTTTAGTATATAGGTACATTCAATCCGTAAGTGATAATCCATGATAAATATTTCTTTGTCGTGTTTTGTTTTATTAATTTATTAAAAATATAAAAGTACAAATGGAATTGATTTATATGTATAAATAATATTAACACTGGTAATATAGTAAAAGTAAAGAAGTAAAATTGAAACCGTATAGCTTATAAGCTTTTAGCAATAGATTCTCTTAAAGTTAGAACATCGGATGATCTGGTTATCTGTGAACTAATGTTGTCTTCGTCTTCTTCCAAGTTGAAAAATGAATCATCAGTGAGGTTATCCACACCTAAGTTTGTTTAAAAAATAAAAAAATAAATAATGGTTTATGAAACGCACTTTTAAAGAAAAATGTCTGAATCAAAAAAAATTACCTTGATCTGAACACATATTGTGTATTATACAAGCTGCAATAACGGTTTCTGAAACTGCTTCAACACGTCATAATGTTTCAATATCTTTTAACCTTCGAAATCTACCCTTTAGACCACCAAATGCTTGTTCTATTACAACTCTGCTTCAACTCAATATTGTATTAAACTTTTTTTGGTGTAATTCTAAATGACCATTATCACGATAAGGTTTCATTAGGAACTCTGATAATGGATATGCTGAATCTCCTAAGATGAAACAGTTTGGAGGAATGATTTCATAATGATTTTGTATCAATTTTTTATGTACAGGGCTGTTAACCCAAACTGCAGCATCATGCGATGACCCAGGATATCCCACAAATACTTTAATGAACTTTCCTGAAATGGAGAAATATATTTATAAATGATACCTAATTCATTTTATGGCTATAATAAACAGTTAGTATACAACTTATTAAATACAATAGGTACCTTCAAAGTCACAAATTCCTTGTATAATAACACTATGATAGTGGTTTCGATTGAGGTATCTATTATCACTTAGTGAACCATTAATGCGTATTTATGAACAATCAACTACACAAAACGCTTCGGGGAAAGGCACTTTTCTAAGATTATGAAATCCGTTAATGTTTCTTTGGGCTGCTAATCCTGAGGAGTTCAAAAACATTATGAGTAAAATATGTTGAGTTAAAGTTTAATAAATGTATACGTTTACCTCTGGGCCATACAATGTATTTTTCTTCCAAGTTGGAAATTGAAGAAATGGTACTTTTAAAGACTCTAAAAGCAGTACTTTCACTAATTCCAAATCGTTCTCCAGTTTGTCTACAAATTATATAACATACACATTATTATTATCTTCAAAATAATTATGCTTGCACAGTTAATGCACATATTATTTATCTTGTAATTAAATTTGGAACATAACATATCATGAAACTACAATTGCAAACACTATTCATGTAAGAATATTTGAAATGGTACTTCCGGGTTATCTCGACTACCCAAATATTCCCAAGACTACCTGTTGGAATCATCCGGGTTATCTTGACTACCAGACTACCTCCGTAGACCGTAATTTATTAATAAATATATATTCCCGCGTTGTAATCTGTATCATTGTAATGTACAATATTTAATTTTGTCTTCGATGTACAATGTACCTACCTACTATAAGCAGATTAGTTGAAATTAACCACTTTCTGTTTGGTTATTCGGTATTCCCGAACTGTAATTTGTATCATTGTAATGTACAATATTTAATTTTGTCTTCGATGTACAATGGTGGTTTTTATTTCGTCAGTCATTCGACAATCGTCCTATTTTCCGTATTAGCGCTACGTCTAGTTAAATATATCGTTTAGTCAATATGAATTGAATTTCTTTTTGAAATCTTTTGGAAATGTAATATTAAAAAATGCCAAAAAAAAGGTAAATATACGTAATGGTAATTGGTTTGCGAAATCACGAATATCGTTTACGACTGCTGTGCGATTTATATATGGGTGGTCAAATGAAATGACTAGTATTAAGTGGTGTGAACAAGAACTTAATATAAGTGAAAATACAGTTATTGACTGGAATAGTTACTTAGGTACGTGAAGTATGTGCAATGGCGATTGAAAATAAACCACAGGGGAAAATAGGTGGACCGGGGAAAAAATAAAGATTTTTCAAAATAGATTTATATTATTATTTAGAATAGATTTAACCTATATATTTTATATATTTTTATAATTTAAAAAATTGCGGTAGTCGAAATAACACAGTTGATCATATAATAGGTAGTCTTGGAAATATTTTGGTAGTCGAGATAACA